GGCAAGATCCAGTAGCTGGTGATTCGTGCACCTTCCCCCCTTTCACTTGACGATGGTAACCCGAAATATACAGGGTGTCATACGTAACTGGTGGATTCTACGTGAAAAACTGAATGAAAAACAATCCGTGTTTTCTGAAAAATACGTACTCATTGTCTGTCGTGATTGTTGGATGACTGAGTTAGCAACAGTCTACATAAAAGTAGTGGACTGTGAATAGTTAGTCATGAGGGCAAGATCCAGTGGTTGGTGATTCGTGCACCTTCCACTTGACGATGATAACCCGAAATATACAGGGTGTCATACGTAACTGGTGGATTCTACGTGAAAAACTGAATAAAAAATATAGAATAAAATTTTTTCATACGGAGCTTCATTTCGGAGAAAGAGTGGCTTTGAAGGTTTATCGAGTACGCGTGCACTTGATCAAGATCCAACTCGACGGATTTCATTATTATCTCTACTAATATTTGTAAATATTCCGAATGTTGGTACGCGAGGGCACAGAACTGTCTACTCTTCGCCAATTTCTTTCTAGTTTAAAAATTGTTGGAAGTGACGTCCACGTTTGTCGCATGCACGACTGTGCTCTTCTTATTAAATTTCTACCAACATTTACTAATGTGTTATTTTGCAGTTTCATTGTTGCAAACGCTGTAATAATTTTTTCTTTTAATTGTTCGACGTTCGCTATGTCGCTAGAATACACCATAGATTGAACATGACCCCGTAAGTAAAAATCCAGCGGTGACAGGTCCGGAGATCGTGGCGGCCGATCCAATATATCGGTAGTTTTCGTTAAAAAAATTTCTCGCTTCACGATTGAAATGCGATGGTACTCCATCTTGTTGGTAAATTAAATTTCTTCGAATTTCAAGACGAATGTCTTTCGATAACTGAGTTGAATCTTGATCGAGTGCACGCGTACTCGATAAAAACATTCAAAGCTGTTTTTCTCGGAAACGAAGCTTCGTACGAAAAACTTTCATTCTTATATTTTTTATTCAGTTTTTCCACCAGCTTCCCGTTTGTACCACCAGTTACACGACACCCTGTATAAGGACATGCTCGGAGGAAGCAAAATCGGCAAAAGATCTCGTACACGACCGCAGTGTTGCAACACTGAATAAACCTCTCCAGAATTACAAGTGCGTTAATTCCATTACACGCTCCAACACGATGTTGATGAACATACCGAAGAAAGAGAGGGGAAAAGACACAAGCCTCTGGCAAATTGGTAGTTTCTGGATTAAATAACAGCAGCGGGCTGGCAGTTTACATTAAATTGTTCAGTTATAGGTACACATATGTTTCCTTGATACACTTTGCCACAAATTATTTTACTCGCACTAATTCACAAACTGCCGCGACACCTACGCTGCATAATAACATATGTTTACATAAATGAAAGAAAGATTGTTGGTTGAGATCTACCGATATCCACGACGAGCGATACGTACGCCGGTTTTTCTAACCCCGGTGAGGCGAACTTGTACTTGAAGCGAGCTAACGACCGGCAAGGTGACGTAGGGTGAAGAGGGGTGGGGGGCGACGAAAGAGAGTGGAAACCGGCGAGTTGACGAGAGCTGAGGGAGATGTCAGGGGGGGGGGGGGGATGAGGTGAGAGGGGGTTGCGTCGGGTCGGCAATTATTCGGCGCAGGAGGGCACAGAGGCGCGAGTGCTCTGGCTAGGAACCGGGTTGTATTGCGGTTGGGAAATTTCGAAGGCGGAGGAGAACGCGTGGCGAGTGAACGAGAATGAGAGAGAGAGGGGCTAGGGGGCCAGGCGATCAGCATTTTAAAATAGAGCTATTTTTAATTATGCCGGCTTGGTCGGTGATCCGCGATAGAAGAGAAAACGGGGGTGGGGGAGAGACGGCAAAATGGAAGGGGAGGAAAAAAAAGGGACGCGCGCGCGCGAAGTGAAGTGAAGTGAAGAGAAGAGAAGAGCGAAAGAAGAGGAGAAAGAGGCGTCTCTGTCGCGAAGCCGGTCGCGGTCGCGATCGCGGTCGTGTTCGTGCGTTTATCCACCTACGACACGGCATATTAAAAATCGGTGCGCACGCCCGCGCGTCCGCGTCCGCGAGCGTACTCTGCCCGGGATACGGGTTGCCGATCTTTTCCGCAAACACGGAATTATATGTAAGCCGTAAGACATAGACAAAGGGAGGAGCGGCGGATAGAGAGAAGAGCTCGGAGCTTGCTACCCCAGCCTCCAGCCCCCCCCCGTCCCCCCTCCCCTTGCCCATGTGCTCGCCTGCCGCACGGCGGATATATGCCTACGTTGCGTTGGCTAGGTTCGATAGAGGCGCGCGCGTGTACAGAGGCGAGAGACCGTGTCATCTGTATGTCCTGAACCCCTTTTGCCCCTCGAAACGTTAAGCTCGCCCAGCGGTACACAGGCCTTAAGCCGCATCGTCGCCGATCCCCCTGGCCCCTTTTAACCAACCGTCCCTTAGCTCTCCGTCCGTCCGTCCCTCCCTCCCTCTTTCTCTCTGTCGTCGCCCTATGCCAGGCTCCTCGGCTCCTCGGCTCCTCGCGTGTTGCGCGATACATCGCGTCACGACCAGCTATCCGCCGGGCACTGCTCTTACCGCCTTAATGCATTCGGCAAACATTCGCCGAGCGTTGCCAACGGGTCTTTATTTACACTACGGATTCTTCTTTCCCGTCGCGTTCAGCGCGCGGAACGTGGAGAGGCGTAGTAGAGGGCTGCGGCGTACAACTCCTCCTTGTACGTACGTACGTACGTCTCCGCTTCTTCCTTTTTTTTCCCCCCTCCCCGCTTCTCTCTAGGTAGATTCTAGACTGTAGCACGCCCTCCTTTCCAACCGATCGTTCCTTCGTTCGTGACCTTTGACGAAACGTCGAAACTTTCTCTCCTGTTTCTGCGTTCCCTTCGTCTCGGTCGAAGACCATCGACCAAAAGACGGTCGATCCGCGCGAACGAAATATATACACTCGCTACTGAAACTTTGAACGAGGGTAAATACTCGGACGAGATTCTCTCTCTTTCTCTCTCTCGAGTTATTATCGCTGTTATCCGAGTATCAGTTGGAAAATAATATCGCGTAATTAGTTTCAGTTAAGGGTAAAACCGGATACTTGATATGTATTATTGAGCTTTGTGACGAAAAATCAGATGGCAGGAAAGCAAAAATTCGCAGGAAAGATTCGCCGAAACCCTTGATTGAAGAGTAATCTTTTAGTAACGACCTTTGGTGCAGTAAAAAAAAAGTGACCAAACTTTGTGGAGAAAATTGTTTGGCTCGCGGTAAAATAAAATTTTCTGGTGGTATACAAACATGTACCTCGCAAGGATGACTATTAAAAGACGTATAAAATTCAACGCAGTTGTAAAATCTTTTATTTTTATTAGTTGTAAAAGTTTTACTCCACTCTTCCCAGACAGAGATGATATTTGATGATGTAGTGCAAGAGATGATAAAAATATTGTTGATAAATTATATTTGTTACAACGTCAGTCAGTATTCTGCCGTTTCTCTGAACAAATGAAAAAAATACCGCGTGTTATTCCTGTCAAAAAAGGAAAGATAATAGAAAGCGAGTTGTTTGAAGATTGCAGTGACGACAAATTTGTTTTTGATCTATATAAAAAATAATTTGGACAGCGATGGTTTTGATGATGACATTATTCTGGATCAAAACGTAAAAAGGCAGGGAAACTTCAATTTAATACTTCCACTGACAGCGAGGAAGATAAAAAGTAAATGACATTATATAATACATAGTGAAAATTGTCTGGCAAACGAAATCTTTGAGGGAAACAGCATTCTTGAACGGGGGATGAATTTTTCAACTGGATTCAAAGTACAAACCTAGCTCACGGATAATTGAATACTTTTGCTTATTTTGGAACGTTAGACAGCAAACGAATTTATTTGCAAGACGAACTGTTGGTAAGAAGCAAATATATCTGGGCAAATTGGGAATGACGTTACAGTTGCGGAAATGAAGGCTTTTATCGGTGTTGTATTGAATATTATATAAAAAAAAAAGTTGCATAATAGAATACAAAAGAATTAGAGGAACAAAAAAAGTAAAAAAAGAAACTCCAAAAAAACAAAGTAAAAAAAGAAACTCCAAAAAAAATCGAAGTTGTGAAGAAGTACTTGGAGCGCAAAGATAGGTTAGGTTAACACATTCCGCGTACCGCACTCAGCGCTCTCAACCTCTTCACATTTTTGGAGCAACAGGAAAACTTTGTACAATGCACATATGCACATCTTTAATTCATCATTAATAAAATATTCTTAAATTTTTCATAGTAATATTTAAGAATCTATTTATTATGTATTTTAGATTTCAACTATTATTTATTTTATATTTGTATTAACACATTGAGGACGGTATGCTCTGATACAAACATATAGTATTTTCTCGTATATTTTGAATAATTTAATATACGATTGAAAGGGAATGTACAGCATTTGACAAGAGTATTATTTCATTAATAATTAAAATTATTAGTTATTTTTCATTTTAGAGGTATTTTATTAAATGAAAATACCTCTGGTAACGTTTCTTGGCGTGGTATGTTAGGAGACAATTTCCCTACTTTTTGAAAAATTATATAACATTGTATAATTATATATTATATATAATAATATATAATAATATAAAATAAATTATATGTAATATTATATAATTTATATTATAATATCATATAATACAATATAGTTGCCCTCGTGTCCCCTTACAACGCAGAAAAGCGTTCCCCGTTCGCAACGTTGAGACACGGAAATTCTCGCGTCCCGTCCGCAACGTGTTAAGATTTAATCGATGATTTCTCGAGTTCTTCGCGGGCAGATCGAACGAAGGATGCATAAAACCGTGTCACCGGCGATCGACGCTCGAATCACGAATTCGCGGAACGGTTTAATCGTCTTTCGACGCGGTGAATTCGTCGTCGACTTAATCCGTAGCCGGAACCCGCGGCTAATAACCGCGGCTCTAATTATTTTTCCGAGAATTATAAGCGGCTTTCCCCTCCTGGGGAAAAGAAGCTAACCGCCGCCTGGCGAATGAAATGTTTCTCGAAGAAGCGGCCCGCTTCGTTTATTTCTTCCGGTTACGCGGCTTGTGTAATCGGCTTATCGGGCGGCGGCGCGCTCCTTTTAAATATCGACGCTCTCTCCTTCGCCTACTTATCTACTCCCTCGCGCGTGATTTGGAAAAAAAGGAAAAGACGTAGCATAGATTCTTTCCTCTTCTCCTCGCTTCCTATTTTGGACTTTGGCCGCGGGACGTCGAACACAGAGAGAGAGAGAGAGAGAGAGAAAGTACACCACCATCGTTCGGCGAATCCGACGCGGTGCGGCAAATTTGACGTATTGCATGCCCGTCAAATTGACGTGCGTCAACGTGCCGCCACGGTTCTCCCCTCTCCTCTCTCTCTCTCTCTCTCTTTCTCACCAACCCTTCGCCGAGCGTACGTTTTGTTCTAATACAGTCGGCGTTACAGCGATATCAAGCTCACGCTCGGGAAAACATTATCGCTTTATCGCGTTCGTAGAAATCACGCGACAGAGAGAGAGAGAGAGAGAGAGAGAGGAGCGAAATAAATTTGAAGTTCTCGGCTCGTCTTTCGTCACACGCTTCGGCGGCTAGAAATCAACTTTGGGTGAGGGCGCGTGAAAGAGAAAAAGAAAGAGGGGATGAAACGATGTACGTACGTTCCTTGACGATCGTGATTAATAATCTCGAATTCGTAATTAGCGGCAATGGCGCGCGGGTGATGGGTGGGCGGGTGGGCGGGAGAGGGAGAGCGCGGGGGATGGAACGGCAGTCGGGGTACGTCAACGGAGAACGATCGAAGCTTTTTCATTCGTATTACAAACGAACCCCTAAAAAATTCACCGTTGAAATAATTAAAATCCCTCGTTTTTCTCGTCGATTACATTTTTGTGCGGTTCTACGCATGCCGGCGATATCATATCGTATGGTAAATTAATTCGTTTCGATTTAAAAAAAAAAGGAAAAAAAAAAGAGGCGGAGAGGGGGGGAGGGAGAGAAAAAAAGGAAAAAGGGATTATAAAAGTTTCGCGGCAATGCCGTTGGAATTAAATGTGGAAAATTACATTTAAATTAATTGTTTTCCGCATGCTCGTGCCGCAATCCCCCCCCACCCTGTCCGTTCGTTTTTTTCCCGCCCCCCCGGTTTCGAATCATTGGCACGGTGTTGGTTAAACCGGCGAGTGACGAACACTCGACGACATCGTCGCGAGGAAAGGATTCGTCGAGCAGCGTTGTGTCTCTCCAAGCCGAAGGATATTCGAAATAAGCCCGATACCAGTAGCGGTATCATCGGTATCATCGTCGTTGCGCGAGAGCAAGAGCCGCAGCGGGGTACAAAGGGAGAGAGAACGAACGGTTCCGCTCGGCTGGTCGACTGGTCGGCCGGTCGAGCGGCGAGGGATAACGCGATGCAATGGAAATCAAGCGCAACCCCTTACCGCGGATTGGTATATACGAACCATCGGCCGATGGAAGCCATTATCTTGATATGCTGGCCGAGCATCGAACCGGCTCTCTCCTCGTTCCGTAGCCGTATAATTAAAGTTGCCGGCCGGCGAGGGCAAACGCGCGTACGCGCTCCGATAGAAACATTTTTGCCTCTCGTTTCTCGTTTTCTCTTTTTCGAAGACAGAGCGGCGCGGGGGTCGGTTGCCGCGTGGATATATATCATCGCGGATGGCGCGATGATCTCTCTCTCTCTCTCTCTCTCGGGGAGAGAAGAAAGAAAGGCCGCGTCCGGTGGAGTCCGGTTTCGATTCTGTACGTAGGCGACGCGTAAAATAGCTGCTGAAGGAAGAGGAGAAAGGGAGAGAAAAAGAGGAGAAAAGATGGGGAAAGAGAGAGAGAGAGAGAAGGGAGGAAGGAAGAAGGGTGTCGCCTAATAGCGGCAAATTACGCCTTCTTACTCTTACTTGTTTCCGCGAAGTACTGAAGAAGAGGGCGGTTGCCGCCCGAAGTAACTCTCTCGTTTTTATTTCCACCGTTTCGTACGTTCGTTCGTTCGTTCGTTCGTTCGTTTCGTCGCTCGTCCTTCCTCCTCACCGTTCTCCACTGCCACCTCCTCTACCCGTCGCCACCCCTTTCTCCTCTCTCTCTCCTTTTTTTTCCTTCTTTTTCTCCCTTCTCTTTAAGTATTCCGCTCAAGAAAAACAGCCATTAGCGAGAGTTTTCGCTTTTCGCGCAAAACTTTTACTCCGTACCGTAAATTCTCCCTTTCTTTCTCCGGCGGGGGGTGGGTGCGAGCAGTCGCGAGAGAGCGCGCGCGAGCAAAGAAGGATGACGAGAAAGTAGCGCGTCGGGCAAGAGGGGGGCGGGAGGGTGGCATGGGTGGGCGAAACGAACGAAACGGCGGCCAAGGAGTGAGGGACAGAGGGGGCAAACGGAAAGAGAAGGAGAAGCAGAAGGAGGAGGAGGACTGGGAAGCGAAGAGGGAAGAGAAGAGAGATTGCCGAGAGAGAGGAGGAGGTGGAGGGTGGATGGGAAACTCGAGCGAAACTCCAACTTTCGCCCGCATTTTTCATCGTCTATAAATTCTTATTTATATGCGACGCCATGTTTCCTTTCGTTTAGAGCGCGCTCGAGCCTGCCTGCCAGCCAGCCAGCCAGCCAGCCAGCCAGCCCGAGCAGTTTCCACAGATATCGAGGCAAATTTGTCACAAAGCGTTTTCGCGGGCGCGGATCGGCCCCGGCCCGTCCGATCCACCATCTCGAACGCGCGCACCCGAAATTGCCAAAGTTGCAAATGTTCGTCGCTGTAAATTTAATGCATCGCGCTTTATTCCGTAGGCGAGGGGGGAGAGGGGGGAGGGGGGAGGGTGCTACCCTTCCGCCGTCTACACCGCCAAGTAGACGAGCACCTATGTAAGTGCGCTCTCGACCGTTCGTTCTGTTTTCTCTCTCGATTTCCCGTTTTCCCTCCCGGCTCGCTCGCTCGCTCGCTCCGGCTGTTTGCCCCTTCACCCTCCTCGTTCTCCGCCCTTCATCTCCGAAGCGGACGAGAACGCTAGGCAGATAGGGCGCATTTACGCCGACGAGCCAGGCTTACGTTGTGCCCCCGTTCAACGTACACCCCGAGTGTATTTACGTAGAATTCGATGGTACGCTCGATGCGCGAGGCATCCTCGCGCGCGTACGAACGGCAGAGCAGGAAGGAAGGAGGGCTATCGAATAGGTCATTAATCAAACCACACCCTGGCGAATAGGCACCAGGGGCGGGTGGTATACCGGGCGTCTTTCGCGGAAAGGATTCGAGGATAATAGGGACGATGTTACAACGCCTTTGCCGCTTGTTGTAGAGAGACAAGACGTGAAAGCAGTCGCTTTCACGCGTTGCGCGTACGCGCTCGCAGCAAACTTTCCCAGCGACGTTCTGTCTGGAAGCTCGCGAGAAGAAGAGTGGTGGCCGGTCGGTCGGCAGGAGGCGAGATTCTTATTCCGCCGAGTAAATTAGAGACGAGTCGCGTATCAAATGGCTTTCCCCTAGCATCCCCACCCCCTCCTCCTCCTCCTCTTCCTCCTCTTCCTCTTCCCCCTCGTGCCCTTCTGGGCCTGTTCGCTAGTGCACTCGACGGCGGTGGTGAATTTAGCGCGGCGCGCGTTCCTCGTCGTCGGAGTGGTTCTAGTAGGGTTGCGATCCCCCTTTGGCCGGCGCGCTTCAGCCGCCGCGCAGACACCGGCGACGAGAAGAGCGAGAGAAAGAGAAAGAGAGAGGGTGTAAAATGCCGTCGCGTCCCGATGCCTCGGCGAAAAACTCGCCGTTGTGAAAGGAGGCCGTTTGAGGAGGAGAGGAGTTGTGTTTTTGTATTCTCTCTCGAAAGTCGGATTCCAAAGGAAAAGAAAAATTGTCGCGGGGGGAGGCGGGGAACGTGAAACGTGTCGTAAACCGAGAGACTGGCGCGTCCCTGCGTAACGTAAGCTGCGAATAGGGGTAGCGATGCGACGGTCGAAGGGTGAGAAGGGGTGGGAAGGGGTTAAATGAAAAAGAAGTCCCGCGATTCCGATTGCGGTGCGCGCAGGGTGGAACGCACGAGCCGAGGGGTGGCTTTCGAATTAGCGTATTTGAAACTTGGTATACAGCGCTCGATGGCGCGGCACAGTTGCCAAGTGACGTATTATAATATTTCATCCCCGTGGTACGCGGTTACGCACACGGTGGAAAGTGTGTGCCGCGATTGTGTGTGGGCGGCCGCGCGCGCGGGTAGGCTGCTCCACCCCTTTGCGCGCGTTATACGCCACACCGTGCCAGCCGCGTTTTATGTCTCTCTCTCCGACCAACGTAGACAGTAAGCACGCGTACGTACGAGTAATATCGTTAATTTGTATGTGTTTGAGTTCCAAGGGGGAGCAGAACCACCCTAATATATTCACGTGCGCGAATAGGATGTACAGTCGGTGCAAAATGCATCCGCCGTCGACGTCGACGTCGACGTCGTCCTTGCCCATCCTCCTCTTACCCCCTTTTGAACGATCGAAGAAATTTGCCGAAGAAATGATCCGCGAAAAGAAGAGAATCTATCATACGTACGATCGTCGTTTCTTCCCCCTTTTTTTTCTCTTTCATAAAAACGTTGCAAACGGGGCGGACGAACTCGATACACCGATTACGAAATTTCGACGCAGCTACCTTTCCACGGTGGAAAGTGGAAAGCCCGCGAGGCCCAGGGGAGAGCGAGGCGAGACAAGAGGTGGCAAGTTTTCGTTCAACGCCCCGGCCCGAGTACACCGTGGCTCCAGACACGATACTACACCGTCTCGCCGTAGTGTGTACGTATCTTTCGGACGCGTACGATGAAACGATGCTACTACTACGCCTTCGATCGATAGCTACGAGAAGAAGAAGGCAACATTCCAAGGAAAAACCAACATCGGGCCAATTTTCGACCTTTTCGACCTTTTTTTTTTTCCTCTTTCTCGCCTCTTTTTCGTATCTAACCTATCCCACGTTTGGGTAAGGGAGGGAGGAGATTTTCGTTGAC